TTACAGAAAACCAAAAATAAACAGCTGAAGTTGGATTGTATTTCTGATGTTACAACCATGAGGAGAATAGCAATTTACGCGCTGCCATGTCCTCTGGAGAAATTACAATCTCAAACTAATACCCCTATGACATCACCCCACAATTCACAGTACCAGTATTAACTTGTTTGTGTCTGGTTTATTTTTGGAATGTCTCTGCCACTCTTCTACAATGGTTTTGTCACTCATACCTCCCCAATTTGAAACTGAGATCTTCCTCTTTCGCATAAAATGAAAAGTGCACGATACAAGTTTGTGCTTATACAAAGACATGAGTATACCAGTAAACTGAAGTCAAAGTTAACTGCAAATCACATTCTATATGCGGATGAGAGGTCACAAAAGCAGCCCCCAAATTCCTGAGATTTCTATCATTAAACCACCTAAAGTGGCACAATGGCCATTTGGGCCGATGTCACACCGCCAAAAAGAAAATTAAAAACATTTTACCATGGTTGCGAGCAAGCAATTTTTGCATGGCAACATCAGAACTTCTTTTTCTCTTGCACATTGTCCTTACAGGAACAACCTGGTTAAGTGCAAATCTAGTTATTCAAGATCAATTGAATTGAACTGAATGCACATGCTGGTCTTCATTTATAGTGCAAAACTACTGTCAAATAGAAGTACAATCTGCAGTAACTGTGGTCACCCATTTTACAGAAATAAGTAGGCAACACTCTACCTGGAAGCCAATTACATCAAATGCCCAAATCATCATCACTATCTGTAAAGATCTAGAACAAGTATTGAGGAAAAGAAAGATAAGTTACAGCAGCACTGCATAAACTTCATTTTAAAAACATTCAAATCAAACGTTATCAATGCACTGGTCTCTGAAGTGACTACATTTCCAAAGTCATTATAACTGGAGTTGGATGACAAATTACAGTTCCAGTAACACGAGGAACCATCTTTTAGCAGGGATAGTTTAGGAGGTACAGCCAGACTTAAGCTTAGCATGCAGATGAGTGCAAACCCTGGACTCTACTTTGTCCAACCTTCTGTTGTTAATCTGGCTTCCATCCCAACTATTGGAAACTCACGCATTGTCTACTGGTGTGACAGTTGCATGTTCATAACCACCTAACGTAAGAATATTCAAAGCTCAACAATTGAGCAAATAACCTACAGCGCAGTTTAACAGTTGCAGATTCAGTATGAAAACCCAGAACGGGTGGTGCCAGAACAACCAACTAGAGGTGGGATACAAAAGAAAGGAATTCCACAGCACAATACGCTTGACAACTACCATAAAATAGTGCAAGTGTAAAGTTGAACGCCAGAGTGGAATTGTGCCAAAAAATAAGAAACTTTTTTTTTTTACAAGTTCACATGTGGAACTGGCTGGCCAGCATTTATTGCCCATCCCTAACAGCAACTGTGAAGGTGGTGGTAAGCTGCCTTCTTAAACTGCTGCGATCCACATGCTGTAGGTTAACCCACACTGCACTTAGTGAGGGAATTCCAGGATTTTGAACCAGTGACAGTGAAGGAACAGTCATATATTTCGAAGTCAGGATGGTTAGTGGCTTGGAGGGGAACTTGCAGGTGATGGTATTCCCACATACCTGCTGCCCTTGTCATTCTAGGTGGAAGTGGTCATGGATTCGGAAGGTGCTGTTGAAGGATCTTTTGTTCATTTCTGCAGTGCATATAGTGGATGGTACTGCGCTACAATTTCCGAGCACTTGACTCCCTGTTAGTACTTGTCAGCAGAATGTCAAAGACCAATAAAAAAGCAAAAACAAAATATCACAGATGCTGGAAATCGGAATATAGAACAAAAAAAATGCTGCAAAAAGTTCAGACGAGAGGACAGTGTGAAAGATTAACTCTGTCTCTCTCCAATGATGCTGTCTGACCTCATCAAAAAGACTCTTGCTGTCACGGTTTCAGCTTTCATACCAAAGCCCTAAGCAATGTAGAGTGAGAAAAATAAATATAGATGCATTGCCAGGATGAGGAGCATTATCCTCATACCAATATAACTAAGCATAAAGATACACCTGTTGTGGTTTTCTGACTGATTCAGTCTGTTATTAGCACTTCAGCAGAACAGTGAAGCCCTAAAGTGATAAGATCAATTTTAAAATGTATACAATATTCAGCACTGAGCAATCAAGTCGCTGGATTACACACGAGTGCGTAAAATGTATAAGAATACCGCAAGATTTAGGGCAAATACGGGAGCTACCACCAAGTACAGCTCATTAGAAGAGACCAACTAAGGGGCAGCTTATTACCAATGCAGATTTTGCCCAAACACAGCTCACTATATGGACATGTTCCCCATAAACAGCTTAGAATGAACACAGCAGGCCAAGCAGCATCA